TATGTGGCCAATCTTGCCGTGTAAACTATAAATTGGGGCCAGAAACTGGGCCGGATTTCACACACAAAATAGAGTCTCTCGATGACCCTGGATCTTATCTTAGACAATCATAAACCAATGATGGATTGAACAAACAGATCTTTCGTAATAAATGAAGAATAATAGCTCGATTGTGGCCCACATTTGGTATCCAGGGGGCCACATATTGTTTCCATAAGTTGTTATCCAAACTTATACTTAAGCAGTCTTTATTTTGGCGAGGCATAGCACAAATATTTCTGACTGACAGGTGACTCCCATTGTGGATACTACTAATAAATGGGCCACGTGTTTGACTTTCAATTAGACTGATTCAGAATCTGCCCAGTGACTCAATCACCTATTGCATTTATGGAGAGACTATTTTCTCTAACTGGACTAAGTCTCTGAATGCAAGGCTGTGTATTTAAGACATTGTCTTTTTTTTCTGACAACAGACTGCTGAAACTCATTCTCCAGTGTAGACCTATGCAAGTTTAAGACTGCAAACTAAATTAGAGCTGAGACGTTCAGTTACATTCTACTGAAAACTACAAAAATAAGCAACAAATACATGTACTGAACACCAGGTACTCCATGTACATGAATAGGCAGGTCATGCTAGGTCAACAATAATTGAGTTTGGTCTGCAGAACGGCAACTAAAATACTAATATGAATGTGGTCACAGATGATAAAAACAATTAATTGCAGGTGTGATTGGATGCAGTAAAAGTAGGTTGTCAGTGTGGTAGATGAATGTGCTTCAAACACAGGTGATTTGCATGCCATTGCTTTTTTTTTACCCCCAAAATTCTGAACACATTTAACAACAGCGTTACACCACTCCCCACATTAGCAGCAAATGTTGACATCCTACATAAATCGTCAAGAGCGGAAACCTTGTAAATATGCATAATCTGTGAGGGTGCACATTATCCTGTGGGGAAATGTTTTGACTCAGCATGTTTCACTGAATTACAGGTTTAGACCTAAAGTGGAAGTGGGCTGATTCAGCAACATCGGTTACCATTTGAGCTTCCTTAAAAAAAATCGGTTGTATTTACAGCAAATGACACATCAGCACAGGTGGTGAAGGGATGTTTGGTTTAATAAAACTTTTCTGTCATTTACCAGGCTGCTTGTTGACACTCCTTCATATCACAAAACAGTGTTTTATGATGATGGGCCTGTATTTTCAAGGATGGCCCAATTAGATTTAAACACCCAGAGGCCTTTTATGATACCAAATACTCACTGTGTTTTAATTATTGTATTCAATGCATGACACATTTTGCTAAATTGGCTGTTTAATTAAATACAAACCATTTAATTTTGGATAAAACAGATAAATGTTGGTAAAAAGAAAAATCAACATATATCAAGGTTAGGCCAAATGACTTGAGGTCGTGACCCCATATGGTGTTGCCTGTAATTCAAATGGGGCTGCCTGAAATGTCTAGTAATTAAAAACAAAATCACTAATTATTAATACAATAAAGAAAAAGAACAATAAAAATTACTATTCATATTTCAGGGAAAATCTTCAGTTTTTAAACTTTTAGACGGTTTAAGAGGTTCATGAATAATAATTTGGTGAACAGAGAAATGAGGAAGAGGAACAGAAATCTGATTAAGGTGATCTTAATTTTCATAACCTATCTAGTTCCATGACACATTTTCCTTTGTTTGAAAAATTAGTCAGTCAGTGAATTGATGGTACTGTCCGCATGCTCTTTCTTTCTCACTCTCTCACACACACACACACGATCTCCAGATACTTTAGACTTTGAATATTACCTTTTCACAAAGCTTTGACAGTCTAGGTGTGTGTGCACTCCAAGTGACGAGTCGTGGGTGAGAAAAGTGACAGAGAAATCTTTGGGAACTTTCTCCCACCTGTTAGTTAGCACGTTCTTTTTACAACTTGTTGCTCTGAAACACATGGCCTCCTATGTGTAGCCACAGACCCTAACCAGCCCCAATCCTTACTTCAAACTAAATCTTGGACCTAGAGATGTCCTCTCAAAAACAAAGGCTCATAATTATAAGGTTATCTACCCAACCAATGTCCCCACAAATGCTAAACCACACACACATAGACAGACAGAGTTTTCTGTCTTTGGAAAGGACATTTCCTCTCATCTTATCCTAAACATTATATATATAAACAAATATATAAACATATTACAACTTGCTAGTCCCCACAAGGACAATAAGGGTACCATCCCAACAAGTGTCCCCACAATTCAGATCCCAACTCGACTTTAACCCACACTCCAATCCTTACTCCAGACTAGATTGCGGACCATAAAAAAAGCTCTCCCTCAGGGTGACCTAAAACTGTCCCAACAAGGACAAATGGTCCTAGCCTTTAACTCTAAACCGACACAAACTCTATACCAGGGCTGTCAAACTCATTTTGGTTCAGAGGCCACATACGTACAGGCTGATTAGATGTCAAGTGAGCAGGAACAGTACAA